ACATGAACTAATAGATTCAGATAGATTTAGCGATCGGATGCAAAGTAACATTGTTATAACAAATGTTAATTTGCATTGTATTGCTACGGCTATTGTGCATACTCGAAGCATGTTAATCTCGTTGCCGTTGAGCAGTGAACTGACTATTCAGTGAATAGTGGTTATTTTATCCAGAAATTGTATATTTCTATTGTTAGATGGGAAATAAATAGTTTCTGTACATAAAAAAAACTGAAATTGAGGTTAGGTTATCTATATGAGTCTTTTATTCTGATAAGAAATTTTTATAGAATAGCGATGCTTAAAATGATAAAGACAACACTAAAAAACCGATGAAACTACTTGATACCTTTCATTTTAGGTTTTACATGGATAATTGATTACGATTCAGACAATTGTCTCTGTATCTGTTTGAAAAAAAATTAGAGGAGCACACGCAAAAAAAATTTTTCGATTTGGTGGTTAAAACTTTTTAATAAAAACTGAAAATGGGCGTTCTCCCGAAAAAAATAGCTTGCTACAAAGAACTTAATTAAAATATGTGTATCTTACCATTTTGACAGAGTACGAAAAAATAAAGTTTACTGTTCCAGAAAAGGTAAAAAACCGTCCCCGCATCAAAAATTTACTTTGTCTGCCACCATGGCTGACTTAAGCGGAGAAGCGGAAGCTCTCTCGCAAGGACTCGACCACATCACCAACCAACTTTTCTGGCTAAGCATTTTCAAATAGTGCCCAAATAGTGCCCAAAATTTTTTTTTTTAAATTTGCCTGCTGCGCAACTAAATTTGTCAAAATAGCGTCTTCATACTTATATTTTTGTTTATGTAGTTTTCGTCCTAATTACCGTCGGCGCATTTTTTTTTGTTTTAAATGCATTTAATTTTATCTGGTACGTTTCTGGGTGCTTATTTTCAAGTGTATACGTTTTTATTGCTTTAATCAGTTTTTACTATGGCTTAAAGTTCTGTAATATGTAATTTTTTTCGTATTTTTTCATCATTTAAACGATTACGGTTCTTTTTTCAACGTTGTGAATCTATGTTGCATAGTTTTGAGGGAAGTATTTGTTTTTATGCTTTTGTTCGTTTCGTATAAACTTTAAAAACTTTTATTTCTAGCAAACTTTTTTTATGTTACGGGGTTTTTTCCGGCTCAAATTCTTCTCTTCTTCACTGTTTTTTACAAAACTTTTACTTGAGGCCTGAACCCTAAACTCTGTTAGGTTTGTTCACACGTGGCTTAGGGGTAACGCCGTTGCCTCTGCATCCTAAGTCTGGCCGACCTTACTTTTTTGCAGTAGGTATGCAATTTTAAAAAAAAATCGGTTCAAATTGAATTTTTTTACTTTCATTTGTCTGCTCAAGACAAATCATAAAATTTGACACATCATAAATTTTGCTTGCAATGTAAGCATATTCCATTGCAGTTGAAAGTGCAAGTGTTGTTAATTTTAAAATCAGGGTCACTTGAAAGATTGATTTTTTTTTATAAAACCATTTTTTTTGGCTCAACTGGTGTTTGCTCAAATATTGTCTGCTGAGCAGGCAAAATTTTGAAAAACAGCACAAAAAAGACGTTTTTTTTGCGCGCGCTCCCCTTCAAAATTAGTATATATTTAATTTTTAGGGTTGGTCGGCCAAAAATGGATTTCTTAAAAAGTACCAAAGGGACCCTTTGGGTAGGCAGGGGGTCAAATCTCTGAGAGAGGGGGCTGCCACACCCCCGCCCCCCCCCCCTAAATCCGCCCCTGGTCTGCTTAATTGCTATATTACTAAATTTTCTTGTGCACTCAGCTACTTTCATTTCCTTCAAACGAAAATCTGGTTATTAGGTTTCAGGTGGGGCTTAAAATTTAGATTTTTTTTTATAAAATCATACTTTTTCTCGGGTTATTTTCTGTCTGCTTAAAGATTGTAGACTTTGTGTTGTGCGAAGCTCCGCGTTGCCTCTTTGTGCAATTTTGGATACAAGTAAAAGATTGAAATGTCATGTATTACTTATAGTTTTAATATCTATTATCTTTCAGAATTGAAAATTAACCTGCCTTCATGTGCAAAATATGAAACATGTATTAAAGAATACAATTTTGCTTTTTCTCATATTTCAACATTCGTGTAAGACGTGAGTATTTTTTTCTGAAAAAGGATTAACGATAACAATATTTTCTCTATTCCATTAACTGTTATTTTGAACTATAACTCATTAGGATAATGTCAAAGATTAAATAGCAACGGGTCATCTTTCATATCTGTATGCTAATCCACATATTTTGGGCATCAGAATTCAGTGTGTTTCATAAATTAGAAAATAAAAAACACAGCCGAAATCTGATTTAAGTCAACTGTGAATAGACTTTTGCACAAGTTGCTTAGAATTTGAATAATCAGTTATAAGTTGAAAGCAGTTGAGTTTAATCAAATCATTCAATCCTTATAATCACAAAATAATATACACTTCACAAATCCATACCTCAAAAAAATGCTATGGTCGATCGAAAAAACTGGCCCAAAATAACTTGTTCATTTTTTTTCAGAATTACACCAGTAGAAGGGAAAACTAAAAAAAAGCAGGAAATAAATTTTTAAACAAACTCAAATTAACATCTATTTCCAGCAGTTTTCATGTCTGTCAAAATTTAGGCAAATCTATCAGCAGTATAGGAAACACTTTTATTGTCTTCATGGGACGGCAGCATGTATGATCATATTTTCTCATTAGTCATTGAATTTTTTTATAAAACTATGTTTATTTGTTTTATTCCTTTTTTTTCGGCTCCTGCTGATTTCTTCAAGTTCAACTCTAATTTAGTTTGAATATAAAATTAACGCAATTGGTTTTTTTTATCGCAAAAAGAGCAGCTATTGATGTGGACGACAAATCAAATAAAACTTAGAAACCCTTTGTTTAAAAAAACACATGACTTTGCCTTTTATTTGCACTCTTCTTTTCAATCTGAGAAACTATTCAAACATATTCATTGAATGGTCTTATACCATAAATTCATATGCCAAACTAACCTATATAAATTGATGAATACAGTTTTTTTTTTCATTTTTTAGATTGCAAGTCTGATTTGTGAAAACAAGTACTTTATAACTACTTTATAGTCAGGGAGAACCTCAATGCAATCGTTGCACGGCTTTATTAATTATTCATTAATCCAACGTGCAACACGCCTGTGTGAAAAAGCAAATATGAAGGTTAGTTTTTGCCATATTTTTAGTGCTGCTCTGAAAACTTTTTTTGTGTTATA